CCAGCCGGTTCAGCCGTCCCCGGCGGCTCTGCGCTAGCCACCGGCCGGGGGAGGAGCAGGGGGTTTGAAAGCTCTTTAAAGCCTCAGGATATAATCTCTGCTCAGAATAATAATAAAAAAAGACATAAAAATGCCTTGCCACATCTGCCCGGGAAGCTCTCCGACGGCTTGGGCGCGGAGCAGCCGGCAAAGGACTAAAGGCTGGGGCTGCGGGGGAAGAAACCACGTTATGGGGCAGCATCTGGGGTGAAGGCAGCCTGGGGTCACGGCTCAGATCATCGCTGGGGCCCCCCAAAAATCACCCCAGCGCTTGCTCCTGCCCCCCTGCCTTTTCCCCACCGCCTCCTCCCTGCCCAGCTTAGCCGCTCCTCACCTGCCATAAAAATCTGTTGGAGAAAATGTGATTTTACGTAATCCTTCATGTTGTTCTGCTCGATGGTTTACACGCACACACCAAAAAAACAAAAGATCTGAAGCGAAAACAAGGTCAGACCTTGCTTTGGCTGCCTGGTGTCCCCAGGGGGTACGGGGAGGTAGGGCCCTCCCCGCCGGTGCTGGCTGGAGGAGAGGAGGGGACCCCCCCCAGCTCCGGTCCTGGGCAGGGGGAGAGGGATGAGGGGTCCCCAGCCCTTCCCCGCGGCTCCGGGCACCCGGGGCTGGCTCTTGGTCCTGGGCTTGGCTGGAGAACCCCTCTTGGGTCTTAAAGCACAAACCCGAGACCGGAGTAATTGGAGAAAACAAAATTCAGTGTTTATTAAAGACAATAAATTACCTTCCCTTGAAATACAGTAGATTTTGAGAAAAGTCCCTTGCTTTGCAGGGCAGGCGGACCTCACCACCCCGGCGAAGTGACTTCTGCGGGGCTGGGGGGGGCTCCTGGGAATCCAATCTGGATATTGGGGTTGTCAGAGCCCTGAGGAGCGGAGCGGAGCAGGCAGGACGCCCAGGCTCTGCCTTCGGGGAGGTACCGCTGTTTGCAGCCGCGCGACCCTGTCCCTGAAGGTGACTGATTTCTGCTCATCTGTTTCACTCGACGACTACACCCGCGGAGGAGCATGCGCAATCAATTGGTCCCCGCTGAGCACCGGTAACACCTCATGCCACAAATGACGAACGCAGACTCCGGTGCGGGCAGGTTTAGGAAGCGAAAGCCTCGACCCCGATGCTCCAGCAGCGAGAGGGAGGTACGGCCGGGCTGGGGCAGTGCAATCGGGTGCTCGAGGCTGGGCGAGCGGCGGCGGGCGCAGAGAGGTAGTTGCTGGGTGAGAAAGGCACAGGGGAGGGCAGGCGCGGGCAGCGTCCCCGACCCCCCCCCCCCCCCCCCGCCGCCCTCACCCACACCCCGGGTTTTGTGGGTCTGGGCTGTGCACGTGCTCAGGGCTTCCCCAGAAAAATTTGGGAGGTGGAAGAAACATCCAGCCGAAAAGGCAAGAGACGTGTGCGGCTGGCAGGGGGGATATTCTCCCGGTGCCCAGTGCCAGGGTAAAAATACCCAGCCCCGTCGCAGCCAGCGGAGGGAATTAGAGTGGAATAACCCGCCCGCCGTGGTCAGGGGAGGCTGCGGCAGCCGACGGGGCGGGGAGGGGGGGGAGGGGCCCGACCGGGGGCCCCTCTGGGGACGGGAGGGCAAGGCGGTTACCCCGAAGCGGCCGGGATGAAAGCCTCATCTTCACCCCGCCGACGGCAGCGCAGC